TCCAACTCATCATCAAAGCAATAGAGTTAAAAGCAGATTAGAAATTAATATCCCTGACTGATGGTGCCTTACAAAACCGCTGCTTTCAAACCAACTACGGAACTATTTTTTTTTTAATAACCACAATAGGTTTTGAGTGCTTTGTCAACATGACAAACCTTTTGCACCAGAAGTGGAGAATGTATCCAAACACCAATGAAAGCGAATGTAATTCGCAGCGGTGCTGAATCAATTTTTCAAGACTATAATTCACATTTGTATAAAACACCCACATTTTCAATATGAAACATATTTGAATACAGTTTTGAGACTAAACAAATTGACATACTGCTTTTGCTATCATTTACAAAGAGTTTTTATTTTTTTATGATAGGCAAATATTAATACTGTACAGCTTTTTATATTTATGCATTTTCTTCAACTGGAGAGTAGACTCTCCAGATTCATTTAAAAAGTCTATAGTTCTTATATTAAACCATTGTATCAACTAGCTCAATTTTCAGATCCAAACTGATTGCTTGTACCATTCTGCCATTGTAGATTCATCTCTCAATTCATCATAAATGACCAAGGCTTGTAGACCATGACTTCTAGCAATGTAATGTTCTTCCCATAATCACCAGCAGGCATCCAATGATTCTCTCATTTTTATTCCTTCGCAACACCCAAAAAAAAACAGAATAGAAAATAATGCTGAAAATATATTGTTACTTATTATATAAACACTGTCTATGTTTGAAATTGGACAAGGTGGCCAGAAGCTCATGGGAGGTGTTTATCCTCCTCTACTTTGCTCTCCTGAGACCCCACCTGGAGTAGAGTGTTCAGTTCTGCAGTGCCCAGGACATGAAGGACATGGAGATGTTGGAGCAAGTGCAGAGGAGAGCAACAAAGATGATCATAGGGCTGAAGCACCTCTCCTATGAAGACAGGCTGAGACAGTCGGGGTTGTTCAGCTTGGAGAAGGCTCTTGAGAGACCTTATAGCAGGCTTCCAGTAATTGTAGGGGACCTACAAGAAAGCTGGGGCCCCACTGAACTTCTGCTTAGTCCTATACATGTGCAGGCATTTGTGAGACTGGGAGAGGCAGGCAGACAGGTGTTTTCTCTGTTTTAAATTCTTTTTCTACCCTACTTACAAAGTTGGGCAAAATAATACCTACAAAGGCCAAGTAAATTCTACCAAAACCCACAGTATTTGGAAAACTCCTCAGCGATCTAAGTTTCCTTTTAACAAAACAACTCATTATGGGTACAACACTGTCAGATTAATCTCTAAACCATGGTTGCTGATAACTTGGAATGATGAGAGACAGAAAAAAGCTATTAGCATATTCTCAAATAACTTACAAATGCTGTGCCTTGCAGCAGAGCCCCTGCCTCATTCCACAAGCTTATTTTATTCTTAGACTTAACCTATTTGGACTCCTACTTCTAACAAACCTTTCCTCCATCCTTGTGTCATTCAACACTTAAGGTGTCATTCAGCAGCCAAGTTCAGTCCCTACATGGACACACTGGTCAAGTTCTGTTGTGATTTTGCCATATCTCTCCTCTGGTCTTCTCAGAAGAAACTTCTCAAGATGCTCAGTATCTTCATTGACTGCTAACAAGGCATATTCAACCTATTTCTGCCAATATTCTACATTTCCTGAGAAGCTGGCAGAGAAAGCAGAAGGAGAGGAAACAGAGGTGCAAGAAACATGGAAATAACTACTTTTGCTCCCAGGTGCAGTAAAATCTGGTTGAATTTAGAAAGCAAACTGAAAAAAAATGGCACAAGTTTAGTAATTTGAAAAATAAACCCTCTTTTGAAACTGTCACTGAGAAGAGAAATTGTGACATCTACACGATTTCGCAAACTCAGAATATAATTCAAAAACTGATGAGAAAATAAGTCATAAGGAATGTTTCCCCATTAATGCTTTTCTGAAACAGCTCTAATGTAATAACCAGCCCTTGTCCATACAGTCCATAAAGAGTGTAAGTCTTTCATTTACAAGAGCACACAACTGTGACTACTTCTTTTAGTGATAAAGGAATTCTGTAACCAATTCCGGAACTAAGACAAAAAATACATATATGAGATCTGTCTAATAAAAGAAAACTAAGAGATGATAAAAAAATCCCCTGCCTAACTATAGGAGGTACAATAAAATCCACTCCATTTTTCTAAAAGACACCCTGAGAAGTAATAAATCAGCAGTATCTGATTATAGAGAGGCACAACTTAATTGAGAAAAACATTCTTACTGCAAGCCTTCTCCATCTCCATGATGCCCCTTATCATCCAACTGCCTTCCTCACTGCCTTCCTCACTGCCTTTCCTGCTCAGTGTCATGTGAACACAAAAATACTTCAAATGACAAATGGTGGTGTTTGTTAGGCTTATTTTAGTTTGTTTGAACTTAGGGCTTTGCCCCATGCAGTTATAAGTTTAAGATTAAACTGCAACTATTTTCTTATTCTAGGAGACATAAGAAAGCTCATGTGTTTCATCACTACAGTACTAAAAAATTCAAGTGTTTTAGTTTTGTAGAAAACTGGTAACAGGAGAGGGAAAGGGCCTGGATAACAATTCTAAGTCAGACTTTCTGTCAAATGCAATGCACACCATGCGAAAAGAACACTCAACTATTAATGTAGGAAACAGTGCCACACTATTACCTGTACTATTACTAAAATGGTTATTGCAACTTCTGCATTGGGATATGTAAACAACACAAAACCAAGTACCTTTAAGAGATCTGGGAAAAGCTGCAACCTGTAGCCTGAAAAACATTATTTTCTCTGTAATCTCCAAGAAACTGGCACTGAAAATCATAAACTCTATCTGAGAACACACAATATAGTAAGGTGCTATTTCCAAATTTTCCAAACAAACTCCAGTTAACAGAAAGTAGTTACTGACTTATCTTTACTATTTAAATACTTGTAGCTTATTCTTTTATTAATAATTTTCAAAAACATGTAAAGGTGATTGACTGATGCAAACTGTTTATATCACCTAAATTATTTCGATTAAAGTTTAAAATTGGAGTACTTTTTAAAAAATGCAATGTTTACATTACTCTAAGCCATCTCTCCCAATGAAGCTTTTTTGGTAGAGATTACTTGACAGTGATTGATATAACTGCTCTGCTGAAGAACTTCTGCACAAACTTTCAGTTTATCTCTTCCAAGGATATTTAAGTAATCATTACACAGGTTATATCAGAACCTTAGTTCCAAGCATTTCTTCTTTAAAACATTTTATTCCAACTGATCATCATATTTTTTTACATATTTCTTTTTCATTTACCTACCAATTAAATAATAATCACTAGACAACCACAAGACTTGGAATAAGTCATGTGGTTCTGATTATGTGTAAGGCAAAATGAAAACATGAATTCTCATCAGGAAATAAAAGATTTGTCTAAAGTATTATCTCCTACTTTTTCTTTTGTTTATCGTTAAAGATCTAAGTATGACAAGGAACCAAGATGACAACATAGATGTTTAGAAGTTAGAAAAAGCAGAGGGAAGAGAGGAAGGATCTGAAGAGAAGCACGAATGATTTACACTATCACTCTTCCACCAATTTGCACCCTACATGGCTCTTGTTAGAAAGAAGATCAGATACTTCAACAGTTGCTTTCAACAACTTGATTTCTGCAGTGGATTGTCATAAGTAAAGGAAACTGATTTCAAAACATCATATTTTACTGTCTTCAGCTTAAAAAAGTTATTTTAGTAATCTGAGAAACTATTTACTGAGTAATATTTCTCCAGCCATCAAATTCAAGCCAACAGGTGATATTACTTATAAATTAAACCACAAACACTGTAGAGACAGAAATGAAAACAATTACAATAGAATTATGCAAGAAAATCTAAGAAGGATTAGCATGGAATGTAGCAAAACTTTGAGATATGAGGTAATGACAGAATTAAAAAGCTAAGTATTTATTAAAAACTTTAGAGACGAAATCCTGCAGTAGCCTTTCCACACAAGCCTCTGAATATTCATTCCTTTTGGGAGTTACTGTCATTCTGCAAGCTGAAAACAGTCTCAGGAAGTACCTAGGAAGAGTTCAAATAAATGTCAGCAAGTCAATAATGTATTACATGATGCACAGATCAGCGCTTAACATATTTACTCTGTAGCTTCTTTCTGCATACAGTATAGGAAAAAATACATGATGTAATAGAATAATAGAATGTCTTGGGTTGGAAAGCACCTATAAAAGTCATCTAGACCAAGCCCCCTACAATAAGCAGGGACATCTCACACTAGAACAGATTGCTCAGAGCCCCATCAAGCCTGACCTTGAATGTCTCCAGGGATAGGGCCTCCACCACCTCTCTAGGCAACCAGTTCCAGTGATCCACCATCCTCATCATAGTAAAGAACTTTTTCCTAATGTTCAACCTAAATCTACCCTTCTCTAGCTTGAAACTTTTACCCCTTGTCCTATTGTTACATGCCCTAGAGAACAGATCTTTCTTAGCCTTCTTATAGGCCACTTTCAGATACTGGAAGGTCGCTATAAGGTCCCCCCGGAATCTGTACTTCTCCAGGTTGAACAACCGCAACTCCCTCAGCCTGTCTTCATAAGAGAGGTGCTCCAGGCCTCTGATCATTTTTGTTGCCCTCCTCTGGACATGCTCCAACAGGTCCACATCCTTCTTGTATTGGGGGATTTATCTTTTTGTACATATACAATTATACATATGCAAGTGCAGAAGTTTTTACTGTCTACATGAAATCAATCTTAAAATGAGAGAATCGAGGCACTGAGACAGCCTACTATGTAACATCATTAAAAAACACATACAGTTCAGAAGGCAGCCTCCTCATTTGTTGCCATTAAAAGATTTCACATTCCTGATTGAAAGGTGAATAGATAGATAGATTTGTGTGACTACAGACAGCACTTCTGGCAATAACTTTTAGTCAACAGAACATGTGTGAAATAAAAACTTTTGTGTCACAAAGGCACAGGAAATGCTACGCATTTAGCTCCAAACATCCTGCAAATATCGTTTCTCTTCTCGAAGCACAGCCAGCATCTTCATTGCTTCCAATTTGTCAGCTTCCATTTCCATGCTTAAAATGTCCACTACAGCCTCGCTTATACCATCAGCCATGTGCTTCTTATCTCTTAAAAAAAAAAAAAGGGGGGGGGAGGAAAATGCATAATTGTTTATTTTTCTTTTTACTAATATCTCCAGAAGCAGGATAATATCAGAAAAGAGGCATTAAAAAAAAATCCCAAACCCCATCACAAGTTGTAGGTTTTATGGTAAGATTCTCACTAAATTTTCATGTAGATGAGCACTAATGGTAACAAGTATTAAGTTTTCAGCATGTTGGAATTTATAAGAAAAAAACCTTGAAACCCTAGTTAAGCTGTCACAGAATAATTTTCATTTTAGGGAGAACCTGACCTGCTGAAGTATTCATTATTATTTTATCACCATGTGGCTCCATTATTAAAAAAAAAAACAACAAGAAAACAAACACAAGCCCCCAAATCCTCCCATATTAATAATGCTATTTTTAATAGCTGACATTTATTACTGCAGAAGAAAGTACTGACATTGGGCTCTATATTCAAACAGTTTGTCTATCATCAAAATTCATAAAAGTCTCAAACTTCCACATAAGTTAGCATCCACAAATAAAACTTTCCACTGTAAAACAGATTACTATTACAGGACTTTAGCATTCTGGTGAACCCAAGCCTTGAACACAGCAGAAGACTGCTGCTATGTCACAGCTGTGTAGCATATCATCACATCTATTCAAATAATTGATTTTCTCAATAGAAATCTACTAGCTTGAAACCTCCTACAGCTTAAATACTAAAACAGAAAAAAAAGAAAATAATTGACTAAAGCAATCAGTGGAGCAGCATTGTTACAAGCCGTACTTGCAAAACTATATTGGAAAAAATGGACATAGTGATGAAATTCTCAAGCATTCCAGGAAAGCTTTTTCAGCATCATGTTGGTCCTGTCTTTCAGACAGCTCTAGGTCATTCTAAAGTCTCAAGCTTCTGCCAACTCTCTTCTATTTCTGAGAGAGCCCATCTCCACCCTGCTCTACTCACCCACATACATAGAAGTAACCTCTCTCTTCCAGCAGGACTCTGGTAACTTCCTTAGGGTAAAGCCTAAGGACATCTTGCACATATTTTGGTGGGCCTACTTCTGCAGTTGAAGAGTCTCTTGAGAAACAAACCTTAAGATGAGTTAGCGTGCCATTTTCAAGAAAACATTTGAGCTCGTCTCTGAAAGGGAATAAAACCAGTTAGCAATGGATCAGAGGTAAGCATTCCCTCCTTAATACAAAATTAATGCTAAATAGTGAACTAACTTGAACAAATAGTCTCGATCCTGATGCCGACAACCAAAAAACAACCATGTCTCTCCAAATTTCCAGTCTGTATGTTCTTCTCTGAGCTTCTGCCTAAACAGACAAAGGAAAAAAAATAAAAATCCACCCCACTTTATCAAGTGCAGAATATAAAATGTCTATAGCCTAATCCTCTTTTAAATAGTGCTTTACTAAACCCCTGGATCGGCACAAACGTGAAATTACTTCAGGTAAATCACAGTCAAACCCTCCTTTGTCTGACAACTCACTTTTGGCCCCACTTAAAATCAATCAACTTCAAAGGTTTTGGAGTTTTTTGCCAGATTCATATTGGAATAGTCAAAACTGACACTTCCAAACATTTCACAAAATAATCCTGACTGCTGAATAAGGAGATCACTACTCTTCATACTTCATTAGAAGCCCTGGGAAAACTCAACACAACACATTTTTAGCATGCTTTCTATTTTGGCTGTAGAAGCCTGCTAGATTTTATGAATAACAATCTTTTCACTACTACATCATCAGAACAGGTACTGCATTTTCTTGAAGTAATGCTTTATTGGAGGTTTAACTGTAACTTTCTAGTTATTTTTTTTGAGGGATTTTATTTATCATCAATCAAATGCTGGTGAAGTGTCATGAATCCTTTGAAATTAAATGTGAAATACTTCTGAGAGATAAAGGTATATCTGGGGGTTAAAATTAAGGAGTAAGGATGGTACGACTTGGCTAAAGAATAAGCATGGAGTCAGAAACATCATGTCAAAACTCAATTTTGCTCTCAAATAAAAGGGTTTTTAAATAATGGTTACAGAATGCAAGAAACTCAATCACCTTGCTGGAACAAATGAGTAATGTAGGAATGATGCAAGATGTGTTGGATACCTATAAAACTTGCAACCATACTCATACAAATAATCCAGTCTTCCTGTTCTTCCTTTCCTCCAAATGACCATGTTTTTACACATTGTGGTAATGAGGTACCTGTTATTTTTTGAACAAGCATTGCTTTGTCTTACAAAATAATGCTGCTGGAGTTGAAGGGGATAAAAAGGGATCTACTCCCTCAAATAAAAACCCACAAAACCCAAGACTACTGCCCAGTTGAGGGTTCAAATGCCAAGCTCCTGATCTTAAAACATCAAGATGTATAAACATAGAGAAATGCAGGAACATGGGAGAAAACTTGACTTAAGTTTGGCATTAAAATTCTGTTCCTTTCAGAAGTGAGAGCTATATTGAAAGTCTTGTCATGATGAACATCAAGTTTTGTGGGAAAAATAATTAACTGCATTTGTTATCAAGATCTGAGGCTGTATTTTCTTCAACATAAAAAGGCTGTTTCCAGGTAACAAACTGGTACATACCTATGTTGTAGGAAACCAATAAATGGTGAAATTCCTGTTCCTGGACCAACCATCATGAACGGGACAGATGGGTCTACAGGTAAGTGGAAGGTATTGTTTGGACGAGCAAAAATAGATATCTAAAATGAAATTAGATAGAACACAACTGAAGAACAGGACTTTTACACAGCATATGTGCCCACACACCCTTCCAAATCCTGAGCTGCAGTTTCTTTTTAATGACATACAGACATTTGAATTAAAATTTCACATGGGTTTCAGAACCCCCCCCCACACCGTAATTACAGACCTATTAATTCATTTGAAGAAAAACTATGCAAAACCACATAAACATCAGTTTCTGCATAGAAAAGTTAATCACACCATAAATTTGGGGAATACTGTTAAAGAATTAATGAGAAGTTTAGTATTAGTACTTAAAGGGAAGTAAAGCTAGTTTATTGCTGTTATAGGCAACTCAACCTTTTTTTCACCCTGTGGACATCTAAAAATATTCCAGTGGAGATAAGGATTTATTTATAGCTAATCAAAGCCTACTATTACCAAGCTTGCTTTCTTAATTTTCATGAAAGTTTTACATACTCTTCAAAATTGCATATGGGTAAGAGGAGGTAGATAACTGCTCAAAGATCTTGGAAAATGGCTTCTCTCATTCCACTGATAAACTTAAATTCTGATTTTCAGATTGTGTCTGAAAGGAAGTCTAAATATAATTTTCATAGGAGCTCTGCCTCAGTAAATTTGCAGATGGTGCCAAATTGGGAAGGAATGTTGCTCTGCTTGAGGGTAGAAAGGCTCAAGAGAGGGAACGTGGACAGGCTGGATGGATAGGCCAAGGCCAATTCTGTGAGGTTAAACAAAGCCAAGTGCCAGGCCCTGCACTTGGGTCACAACAACCCCAGGCAATGCTACAGGCTTGGGGAAGGAAGGCTGGGGAGGGGGGACGAGCTTAGGGAAGAGTAGCTGGAAAGCTGTCTAGTGTAAAAGGACCTGGGGGTCTTGGTTGACACCCAGCTGAATATGAGTCAGCAGTGTACCCAGGTGGCCAAGAAGGCCAACAGTGCCCTGGCTTGTATGAGAAATAGTGTGGCCAGTCAGAAAGCGACTGTTGCCCTGTACTCAGTGCTTGTGATGCCTCACCTCAAGTACTGTGTTCAGTTCTGGGCCCCTCACTGAAAGAACATTGAGGTGCTGAAGCAAGTGCAGAGGAGGGCAATAAAGCTGGTGAAGAATGTGGAGAACAAGTCTTACGAGGTGTGGCTGAGGGAACTGGGTTTGTTTAGTCTGGAGAAAAGGAGGCTGAGGGGAGACCTCATTGCCCTCTACAACTACCTGAAAGGATGTTGAAACGAGGTGGGGGTTGGTCTCTTTTCCCAAGAAAGAAGTGACAGGAAAAGAGAAGATGTTGTGTCAGAGACAGTTTAGATTGGATATTGGGAAAAATTTATTCACCAGAAGGGTGTAAATCAATTATATTTCAAATAAAGAGCAGATCTGAACACTGGAATGAGATATATGATGCACATATTAATCAGTTTGTCTTTGGAGTGAGTTTCCAAAAATGAAGGTAACTTGCATGGTTTTCCTTCCACTTTACCAGACCAGTTCCATGGATTATTGGCATAGTTTTCTTGTAACCAAATTCAATGTTTGCTTCCATTTTTCGTAATAAAATATACATTAGACTGGCAGTAGCTCTTTTTGTCATATTAATTATATAGCAGAATTCCAAAATTTTAATAATTAGCTTACACCTAATACATTTGAGACTGATTAATTACATAGACTTTCTGCCATGGAAAGAGGCAATAAAAAAGAAAAATACCTTTTCCTAGTAACACCCCACATGCCAAATCATATTTGATGGGCATCAGAAATATAAAAAATGATTGTCCTCTGTGCCATAGTCTATAACTTGGCCTTTAGAAAACATGCAAGACCTGACAAAGTTTTATGATTTCTCCCCTATTATCTGCCACCCTTTCCTGGAAGTGACCAAATTCCTTTTTCCTGCAACACTAACAGTCATAACCATTTAATTGCACAGTGGTATTTTAATCCTTGAAAATAGCCTCCAAGACTCAGGACAACAGTGGAGTGAAAAAAATCTAGCCTTTCAGCAATAGGAAGTTTCACTACTCAATAACCAGAAAGAAATCAAAACGTAAGTTTAGCAACTTAGCAATGAAGTTCTAAACATGTTACAGAAAGTAGGGTAGAACTGTAAAATGAGTGTATACTGCCAAAACACCCACACTACATCAGAGCAGTGAGCAAGGAAACCTGGAGTTGTTTCAAACATGCATAAATTTATTGGTTAAGGAGTTCAGATTTAATATTCATACCTTTTCAGTTGAAGAGGTTCCTCCTTTTGTGGCCAGTGTGTTTTTACTAGGGTGCAATAGAGGTGCAACTAACTCAGCAAGCCACCCTGTACACACTCCTTTACGTGGGACTGGTCTAGCTGGACAGGTAGAAAACTCCACAATATTGAACACAAAGCATAGTCTTCCTGGTTGATAGAAGTTTGAACTGCAAAGACAAAAATATTAAAAAACCCTCAAAACCTGAGAGATAGGTGTACAATCTTACAGCAGGCCATTTGCAGCCCAAACCACTTCAATTGAATCAAGATTGTCAGTGTTCAGCTATCTGTGTGATATTTATATAAAGTTAGAAAATGGTTTACAGATGCCAGTGCCTACATAAGGAAATCCAAATTCCTACCAGATTGACATGTATGTGAGCTTGATCTTGAGACCTCTAACAAAGTTTTGCCAAATATTCAAAACAACGTTGTTTGAAATAGTCAAACCCATTGTTTTTTTGCAACAGGGACACAATCACTTTTTCCTCAGGTTTTATCCTAATTCCTCTCTTTCTTCTTTAAATCATAACATACACACACACTTGAGAAAAGCATACCCAAATTACAAGCAAGATAAAATTTGAATATTTCATTACCTTGAAACTGAATAGGATCTGGCTTGTAATTTTGGAAGGTGTTCTGAAAAAAAAAACACCAAAACAATCACTTATTATCTGATTTACCTAAATGAAAATACCACGTAATGAGTGTTTACACTATACGATTACAAGCATATTGTGATTTAAGTGTAACTTTACTCTTATTAACATTTAGTGTTTGTCGTTCAGAAACAAGAAATTAAGACCTGAACTTTTTAATTTTTTTTTTCAGACTTCGTGGAACACCTGCTAGAGAACCCGTAAAATTAGGCCACAACAGTTAATTTATGGGGTTCTTGGTCAACTAAAAACCACTGTAAGGTGCAGAGAGGAGATCTCAGTAGAGAGTGGACAAAATGAAACTTGAAATTTTCTTTTCCCCACCTTTCATTTAAGAGTTCTTTATGGAAGTTCAAAAGCTCTCAGAATAGGATTTGCTTGACTGAAAGTTTCCTGTCTATTATGTCCTAGAAGCAGATGTGCCAGTTCAATTTCAAAATGCTATGATAATCTAGGCAAATTCTTGAAATCGGAGCAAAAAAATCTCAACAGAGAGGAGTTCAGTGGGCATTTTTTGCAGTCAGAAACCCACTACACATACCACACACACGTATTTATATCTGCATGTGTATCTACACATACAGAAAAGGTGAAGCTTTTTAGGTCTTTTTTCCATAGGTACCACCCTTTTGCAGATGTTCCAATCGGTACATGGTCACCCTGACATATTTTAAAGATGCTCTGCTACCTAAGATAGCTTCAAGTCACAGTTAAGAAGAGGTAGCTCAGTGAAGTAATTTAAAGACACTAAGCCCATTCTGCACACTACTTCTTGGGGGAACACATTTAAAAAAAACCTTTCAAAATGTCATTTTATTCAGTTTAGTTGCTACAACACTTTCCACAACACCTTGGAAAACTATATGTTCTTGCTGTCACTGAAAATTTATGTAAGGTGAGCTCCTATTTATCTTTTTTAATCCTCACAGTGTACTAAGAAAGAGACTTGGGGTGGGTGTGGAGAAGACAATTGCAAGAACATAAAAAGCAATTTTTTTCTTTCATATAGTGAAACATACTAAGAAAATCTGGTTTTTAATCTGGAAAATAACTGTTTGTATGTTCAGATGTATCTGAGATGGTTACATTTGAAGTTTCATTCCTTCAATGTTTTATATAAGGAAACCAGTAAGTGTGTTGGACATTACACAAATACAAATATACTGGGAAAAGATTTCTGTTTTAACAGGCAAAAGTGCAAGAAAAGAATATGAAGGCAGGGAAATCAGGAGTTGTAAAAACATGTCTTTTAACTGCAAGCAGTTGATGAACTTTTTCTTGAAGAACCTCATCATGCAAACACCTTATGCTTATTTTTTATATGCAGGACCCATTCAGAGTCAATTGAAGCAGAAGTATATACTTAAATGTTTCCAGAATGAATGCCAAAGCCTACAAACCTAAGAACAGAGCTTGGTTCCCTGAAAATAGTTTTTGTGTGATCACTGTTGAGACTATAAAATTTATAAAACAGTTAACTGAACATTGATTAATCTTTCTTGGGAAACTGAACATTTAGTCTGACGTATTTTCAGAAACAAAATCTAATTAAATCTAAATCAGCCGTTTACCAATTAACAGGTTAAGTGAAGGTCTGCAGCTTGGAAAAGCATGAAGTAAATCCAGCAAGCAAACATTAGAATCTCTAATGAACTGTGCGTAATCAGAGGCTCCTTGTCTGCTGCAAAGCTCTTGAAGCCTCCGTTTTTCTCCTGCGTCACTGGTACATTCTACAAGAGCACGCAGAAATGCCTGCGGGGAAGAAAATAAGAATAAAAGTTGAAAAAAGTCGCCTATTTGGAAAAAAGGACACTAATTTGGGAAAAACTAGGAATACCTGGGGACAGGAAACAGTTCATACAATTTATTTCCCAAGGCACACTTTCGTTTACATTAAGGCACGTCTGCTGGCTTAAAAGGCATTTTATTTAGTCTTATGTGGGGGGAGAAGACGGGCCATTCTTCACATCTTACTATGAAAAATTTACATTTTTGTAATTTAGTATTGTTTGGTTTTTTGTTTTTTTTTATTGTCTCGAATAAGCTAGGTCAGAAAATCCTACTTAGCCTGAGCCAGGGAGACACAAATAAACAGGCACAACCCATTCCCTGACAAATCCCAAATTTATGAAAGGCTTTCATGTCTCTGCATTTGCACTTCAGTTAAGAAAACAGCTCCATAACACAAATTAATTCAAGACAAACCACAATTTGCTAAGTTACAGAAGCTGGAAAGGAATAGTAAAAAGTCTTAGAAGAGGTATTACTGGAAATGAAGTATGGTATTTAATGGGTCAGGTAAATGTTGCTGTGGTGTTTTATTTCATACTTAATGCCTACAAAATGGTAATCTTAAGGAAAAACTAAATTGAGCATTGTAAGATAAAGTAAAACCAGATGTAAATAGTTACAAGTTTTTCCCCAAAAGCAAGGTGGATATAGACACAGTGCATAAAAGAAAAGTGATCCATAACACCAAGTGCAATCAGAGGACATATTCTACACAAAACAATACTTGGAAAGTAATCTCAGTTTGCTCAGACACTGAACTTCCAGACAAGTTTGGAGTGCAGAGTTACATAAAGCACATTCTACATGGAGCAGGTAATAAAGCAGATAGGTTATAAAAAATGGTTTGAGAGATACTCCCCAGTCAGCACTCTCTGCCTACTCTTATTGCAGAGACAAACTTTCAAAAGTGTTAAATGCAGTTTTGAAAAGGTTGAAACAATTGAAAGATTGTCTTCTCTTCCGCTGAGAAATCCACTAAACTGAGTGAAAAGGTTCTTCCAAAACCTGATTTCCCTCAGAGGCTCAAACAACATAACTCTTTAGATTCCTCCTTCATCCAAACTCATCTTTAAAATGTGTTTTGACAATATCAGAAATACACATGAAGTTCCAGTTGCACACTTCCAGTTTTTTGCAGGCACAGAATGAAAGAAAAGTAAAACTCACTCGTGAGAACAAATACAATTATACAAGCAAAATAATCTTTCTTTAAATTCTGCCAGGTTACTGCAATGCTAAAGGAAATATTTCAAATAATTTAAATGACATCATGGCATGTCTGCATAGAGCAACATGCATATTTTCAGTGACAAAATTTGACAGAGATGGGTCCCCTGATTAGAAATAATGATTTATCTAAAATGCCTACAAGGCCAGGTTCAATCAGCCTTTGTTATCAAGCACCAAATATCTAGTAATTCTCTATATACTTCCAAACTAGTTATGAAACAAGGTACTAGAGAATAGAAATAGAATTTTATAGTATCTCATAGTTTGCCAGATGAAGTACTAGAAGTGAAATTTCTCAGAATAAAGTGCAAACAGCACCTCACAAATTGACAATTCATGTTTACCAAGAAACATGGTAACTACACATAAAACAGGGATAGATCTGTAAGAGCCCATAGAGCATAGAATTACAAAGGATTTCTCTTTAGAAGAACAAACACATAAACACCTTTTTGGGAATTGCTCTTATTTCTAGACACCAGGTTAGAAGGAACTTCAGAGTGCTTCTTTCAGGGATATGTTGTGGACGAGTTGCTCCTAGTTCAATGGGAGAAAAAACAAAACAAAACATGCATCTATTAACATCCAAAAATGGCAACACGAAGTGCTTGTTCCTTCAAGAAATACAAGACACCTAAACTGCATTAAATTCTGTATCTCTGGGTCCCAGCTGGTTAGCGGAAATTATAAACTAAACAGCAAGACAGTTTTCCAATGAAGAATCAATGACAATTTTCCAATGAAAATTCAAAACCAATCAGGAAAGCAGGAAACAAAAAGACAGGTATAATAAACAACTTCAAATAAATTTCATTGCTAAACCACTTAAGGCTCTGTTATCACTTTTCACCTTAAGGAAATTCAGAAGAATGTCTATCAGGAAAAGAAACATCCACATTCTTTTCCCTCCATCAATAAGCACTCCTGAAAATCGGAAAACATTTAAGTTTTCTAATGATCTAACCAAAGGTGTGTGTAGCCAGTGCCCAGCTGGAATTGCTGAGGCCCAGTAGATCCAGGGAGTTTCGTACAAGCAAAGAATTGCTCCTGTATTCTGTACAGGTTCAATTTATGGGAAGGAGGTACACTGAGATCCCATCTACCCCTTCAGGGGTAGGTTGAGAGAGTTGGGGCTATTCAGCCTGGAGAAGAGAAGGCTCCGGGGAGACCTTATAGTGGCTTTCTCATCATGAGCATAGTAAGATGCTGGTATAGGTTGCTAAGGGAGATTGTGGAAGCCCCCTCCCTGGCGGTGTTTAAGGCCAGGTTGGATGAGGCTTTGCACAGCCTGGTCTAGTTAGTGCGAGGTGTCCCTGCTCATAGCAGGGAGATTGGAACCTGACGATCTTTAAGGTTCCTTCCAACCTTCTATAATTCATGAAGACAGAGTGCAGCTGGGCTTATCAGCCTTATGCCACATCATGCTAAAGTGGCTCTTCTAAATTAACCCCAAAAGCAATGTAAGAGTGTTTATGTGACAAAACACCTTTAATTAATAAGCTCTGCAGGTCCCAAATTGTTTCCTTACGGACCTAACTTTCATGTTGGGATTTCCCTTGACAACATTTATTGGCTTTGACATCTAGCTACTGATTTTTATTATGTTCTTTTTCCATACTCAAGGGCCCTTTAATATTAGAGGTTTTGCTCTGAGAATGTATCAATATAACCTGCTAAATAACCTCTTCATCTCAGCATTACTTGACTGAATCCTTACTACAAAGAACAAAATGTACTTCTAGAAGCTGACTGGCATAAATATAATGCAGGAAGGAAGCATCCATTTTTACATTTACATAAACTTCCTTTTCTTGAACGTGCTGACAGGATGTTACAGGTACTTAATCCTCTTCCTAGGATGTTCATACATATCATAAAAAAACAACTACAGAAAACCAGTGTGTGAACAATAGATTTTGTACCAGACTGCAAATCATTTATAGCTTGACCTCTCAAATGATCTCATCTACTTCATCAAAGAATTCAAAGACTGAACAAAGAGAAGCTGTAAACAAAATTCAGTGGGATTTGTGGTAAATCTTGAAGATGCAGCAGAGGCACAGCCTGCTGTTCATGCTTTTCTCCCAGTTTTTTCAGCTCTTTTCATTCAGCTAACCCACAACCATAACAGTGTGTAGAACTATTACGAACCCATCAGAAATGTGAAAACATTGTGAGGAATTGCCAAGCTGCATTCTTCGGCACAGATCGAAAAAAACAAGTAACAAAGTTATAGTAACTTAATGAGTCTATGCTCATCAGCACAGCTCCAAAGACATGAATTTGAGTTTGGTCCTAAAGTGTTTAACTTCATGGCTGCAGAGGATGGATGTCAGTGTTCAAGCCATGACTGAAGAGAAGTGGATCAAAAGCAACTTACTACATCCTGACCAAGTACCCGTCAGCATGACTTGCTCTGCGTCACTCGGAAGATTTAAGAGCAGAACCAAGAACTCTGATTCTCTGTGCTGCTACCCAGTGCTATGATCTTCCTTTCCATTATCATTCATTAAGATTCACAAACAGACATGCCATTTTTTCAAACAAGACATGGCAAAATGTTGATAAATAATGCATAATTTCACCTTTTTTCCCTGACTAATGCTACATTAAGCAGCCAGAGATGCAATAACCTGGATTACTTACACATAGGGTGAGAACACTGATATTCCAAGATTCATTCAATTATTTTACCAACGGAGCCTTGGAAGGACTGGGTTTTTTTGCAATACCAGAACAATCAAGTGGCTAAGCTATTCTCACTTGGCTATACAGGCCCTGTCCCACATGGCAAGTGCTCTGGCACAGATGAACACAAAGTGCTCTGGTAAGGCAGCTTTACGTTCTTAATGCAACATCAGTACAATAGAAGAAATGGAACTATGGTAGGCAGGAATGAGAGAATATGTCTCTGTGTTACTCAACAAGACTACACTTTGAACACGTTGTTGACACTACCTTTCATTTACCGAGAGAGATTCAAATTCTACGCCGCCAGGTAGCAGGGCCCTGATTTGCACAGAAGAACCTCCTAGCCCTCAGGAGGGACAAAATTTCAAGCCCACCTTGCTACAAAGATCTGAAGCTTTATGGCCCTTTCAAGACCTGTCTGGATGCCTTTCTGAGCGATCTGCCCTAGTTTCTTTTTTTTTCAGTCCTGCTCTGGCAAGGGGGTTGGACTCGATGATCTTCAGAGGTCCCTTCCAACCCCTAATATTCTGTGATTCTGTGATTACCTCCTCCTTCACTACACCCTTCCAATTGCTTCCTTTCAAAATGTACTTGATTCTGTAAAATCTGTAAATAGTGTAAACAGTAGAAGTAGCATACCTGTGAAATATTCCCATATCAGCCAAACTTTGGCTGCTTGCTTTTGCGTGGTGATTGGGCCCTGGATGGCGTGACACAGGCTTGAGCTTGGGAGTGCTCAAGATCAACTCTGACTTGAAGGGAGATTGTTAAATAACTGGCATTCTCTGGGACCTTTTTTGGTTTTGTTCTGCTTTGGTGTTTTGGAAGAAGCAGGTGTCGTTGGGGGAAATCTTTGCCAGAGGCACAAGGATGATGGGAGCTCCCCAAGAGGCGTGGTGCAAGGAGACAGTGTTCAGGACAGTGGGGCTGGATAACAGCTGGACCAGTGCATCACCAATGCAGGGACGAGGCTGTCACTGATATTGGCTCTGGGCCTGGGACATTCCATGTGACATGGCCTCTCATGTAAACTCACCTCATTTACAGGTGCGTTAATTGCCAAGTCCGAGAACAGGGATCTATTTATATCTCATACTTAAGGGAAAACTTGTGTTGCTCTCAATGATGCAAGGAATTTCATTATGGGAACTGATTTACCCATAGACTAGAAGAATGAAGAGCCCCACCCCACCCTGCTGCACTAAAGGCTCAACTCAGCAACACCATAAAGATACCAATTGCCAGACAAGAGATGAGTGGTTCTTATAGATCCATCTGGCAGTACATGAGCATACTTGAACCTGCAGCTACTCTTTCTGAGGTGTGGGATCATAAGATTCAGCAAAACGGATCCACATTGACATAGGAGCCCCTTAAAACATGCCTTGCAGCAGCACTCTCTTCTGCTTCAGGACTGTGGCCCCCTTAGGATGTAAAACAGATTGATGTGAAGTGCTGTTCAAGGACAGATTTTACTTTCAAGTGGGGGATTGTTAAGTTACATGATTAAAGACTCATCTCCACAAAGACAAAGGAGCACAGCAGGAGAATGAGATGGTTGAATGTCAATGCCAGGCTCAAGTTTCCAGACAGAAGCTAACCCTTCTATACTAAAACCAGCAGCATTATTCTGTGTCCTCTTTTTTTAACACATCTCTGACTTCCAACATGCCTCCATGAAATGACAGCTGTGTCTCAATACTAAAGACAAAGAAAAGTTCAAAACCATGCATACCAGCTACCACCATGACAGAAGGGAGTATTTGTTCATTTTCAGTGCACCACACTGTACGTACCTTTCTTTTTAGTGCCCTGCTTAACCTTTACACAAACAAAGTGATCTTCTTTATCAGAAAGTCCCAAGATTTGAAGAAGTTCTTCTACCTCTTTGACATTGTTAGGACATATTACGCAGAAGGCATCTCCAGGCTGGTAGTCAAAGACTGTATCCTGGTTTAAAATATGAGATAATTTTTAATAAATTGTATCATAAATCAAGGCCAACAGCACTCCCTTTCCTAGCAGCAGCAACCTTCCTACTGTCACAGTCACATGAAGTCCTATGCTGTTTTACTCTGTACTAGCACTTCACTGTTTGAACCACATCAAAAACTAAATACTCGTTTTCTTTTCAGGTTTAACCTCATTAACTAGAAATATCTTTCCCTCTCTGGTTTAAATATTAAGAACACTCTTTAATACAAACTGCTGAGCAGCCTAAACAGAAGGAAAACAAATATGTATTAAGAGTGTGTTTTATATAATCAGCTCAGATAATTAGTTACTGATGTACTTTGTTTTCTGCTTTGAGAGAGCAGAGAAATGTAGTCCTCATAATTAATGTAACTTTGTATAGAGATATATTATCACTAAAAGAAAAATTGCTGGCTAAACTATTTGATGAACTGTGACTGAAATTAGCCTGACTGCTTTTATTTTCTGGGGGAAAAAAGAAAAACAGCAAGAGAAGAGCACAGTGAAAACTAAAAGGTATCTCAGATCTCAAGACCAAGATTCTCCTTAGTTGGCTGAGGTTCTTGTAGCCAACTGCAAAAACCCTACTCAAGTTTCTTCTCATTACAGAACCATACAAAACTATACTTGCATCATTGTATTTCCTTCATGCATCAGGTGAGGTAACCTGCATACACAGGCTGTTGAGAATGTGAGGGGGAAAAAAAAGGCACAAAATGGTCACATTTTCAGTGTGTGCTGATGACAGAATATATGTATACAAATAAATAGAGGGGAAAAACCACGTAATCTCAGAGACTCACTACTCAAAACTTAATAGACTTTATTTACAATTGAGATTTAAAGACATCCAATGGAAACTGATACAGATTAGGCTATTAACAGTCAGTAGAAGTAACTGCCAAAATCACAGTGTCCCAAAGGCTTAATTCTAGGAATATGGAAAACTGCACAAAAGCAACGGATTTTCCCTGTAAAGATTTCTTGTAAAGTAATAATGAGTACTATCACTTATCTTCAAACCAGTATACGAAATATGATCTACCCTGAATAAACTAAACCAGTTCTTATGTCTAGGGTAGCAGACAGTTTGAGTAGTATGTAAAGGAATCAGAGCAAATTAATGCCAGAGGCAGAAAAAGTGCTCACGAGCTAGTAATTCTTTTAATTTGATCATGCTAGTCAAATTATTACTTGCATAGATTACTGACCACAAGGAATAATCACAATTTACTTTACAGGTTTTAACTATTTCCAAAGCTTTGTGTTTACAAACTGAAAGATTATTCATTTTCAGTGTTCCCTGTCTGCCTTTCTCCATTGCAAATTCCCTTCAAAAAAGTATTTCGGACAACACAACATTCAAGGAATAACAAAGAAATTAATTTGACACCTTATTTCTGTTTGACTTCCATGGGGCCATAGCTTGCAGTGAACAAATCAAGCTTTGCATTTACAAAATGTATCAGGCTAAACTGACAAACCTGTTGTATAAGGAATTATTTTTTCTTTTTAAACAGTCAAAAAAATAATTTCCCCCTCAGTTGTCATACATAACACACACATTTCACACTTTATTTTAACCCATTAAAGAAAAAGCCGTCACTAACTTACTGCAATATCAAGTTCTAAGAGCAATGCAGTTTTTATTGCATCTTCCCTAGTGAGCTGAACTGCTTTTGTAACTGGCACTTCAAAGGTTGTTCCCTCTGAAATCAGTGAGGACAGATGTGGATTCTGAAAAAGAGGACACAAAATCTAACATTAAAAATACAAATCAGCTGAACGAGAACTTACTATGACATTCAGGGATTACTGTTGGAACAATTTTTTTGAAACAATCCTAGAAAACAATTAAAAACCATGAGGAAAAACATGAATCTTCTACATATGTAGATTGTTTTGCTCTACATTTTTCAAAATCACATCTGAGCAGTAACAGGCATACATTCAATTACAAAAGGTCAGTAGGCTTGAACAGTCTAACAGGCCTGAACTACTATCAAATGGAGCTAGCTGTTTCCTTCTTCAAGAGCCCTCTTGAAAATAGAAAAGTAGAGAATGGCATTTATGTTAAAATCCAAAAAACTCCTGCCTAATTGAAGGATTACTAGGTGTACAGAACAGACATAAGAAGTAAGAACAGAACCTATTTTAAAACATCATTGCAGATTTACAGATTAAGACTTCATGTTGCAGATGGGGTTATTATTACGGGCAATTTGTAAGAGGAATTTTTAAAACTGCAGTCAGATTCAGAGCTAATCAGCAAACTCCACACTACAAAGCAGCATCATGTTATGCCACATTTCTACACACATGAAAATGTGCCTCAAAAATTGTGAAGGGGCAGGAAGAGTAATTCCAGATCATCTTTGTCAAAGGCTATCACTTTGAGATCAGACTACAGCCCTCATTTCTCCATAACTATTGTCAGCAAGCTTCCTGTGAGATCACTGAAGACAAAAATAAAAAGAGGTGGGAGAGATACCAAACGTCCATAACAATACTCTGTCAAATGGAAAGGTATTATTCTACTAGTAACAAAATATTGGTTAATCTGAGGATTCCCTATCTAAAAAAAGGACGTAGGAGAACCTTTTAGAATTTTGACATGGGAATTAACAGCTTGGGTCATATCTAGTTATTGTGCATCAGCTGGACTATTAATATTCCTTCGGCATCAAGTTCAAGGCATAAGATCAAAATTTAAGCTAAAAATGTATCTAAAACTTGCCACAAAGGCTTAAGATGAAGATCATTACTACTCTGCTACTAATAAGCAGCAGTTTTTAACTCAACATGGAGAGTCAACAGACCAGGACACAGATCCTATTAAGTAACTAGAGAAGCCATGTACCCAGATTTCTTTAAATGGCAGGGAGTCTCTTTTTGGCAACATCCAATCCACAAGTTGATGCAGTTCAAAACAAACCAACTTCAGCTGCGCTTGGCAAAAAATACCAATATGAGATACCAGAAAAGGATGTGAATTTTAAGGCCATGTTTGTTTTTACAAGTAGGACACTTGGGGCCTATGTTTTGACAACTATGTCAAAAATACTGCCAAGGGAAAAGAAAAAACAACAACTTGCATTTGATTCTTTCCAAGGCTCAAGACAACCATCCAGCTTTACACCAAAAATCTGAACTATAATCTTTTATCTGACACTGAATTCCAGATTAGTAGATACAGCTTTCCAATTTGCTGTTTGAAAGCTTTTTTTTTTTCTATTTAGAGGAACTAAGGCATCAATATTAGAAGCTGATCAATTCTTTCAGAGACCAGCCTGAATACATGCTAAGACTAATAGAGAATGGGCTCTTTTAAGCACTGTAGCACCACTTTCAACCCGAGTATTGGTATTTAATCGAACAGTACTTCTAAATCATAAATCTTTACCTCAGTAATTTGGATTATTTAAATCAACAACCTGAAAAAAACCTACCACAATGTGAAGTTTACAATAAAAGGAAAATGATCCAGTGTTTAAATTCATACATTCTTACACAATGATACTAATTAGACTATGTGATTCTCTCAGCATTAGCATTGCCACCTGCAACAGAGACAGTGACAGGGCCCTGAGGACAGCAATGGGATTTCATAGTCCTTAACAGCCTCATCAGGGATTCTACCCCCACCTCTGCCTATGGGCCTCAGAACCCCATCTCAGCTCAGCCCTGGGTCTTCAGTCCCTGCCTGAGATTTGTCACAGGAGTACTGATGTGCAGCTCAGCCACAGCCATGTCCATGGCTGGCCACAGATGCTGCTGGCCTGATCCAGCTGCAGACCAACTTGCCAGCTTGGCCTCAGACCTGCCTCTTTCTCATTAACTTGTTTGATGATCTGCAGTCTTGGCTGATCCTGGCTGCCGTCTCCTGGTTTGCATCACTTGGGTATCGGGGAGGGGGCCAGCTGTGTCACCACACTCAGCTCCTAGCACTCTGTCCCTCAAAGATCAGCCAGCCCTCACTGCCCTCTCATGCAGTCTGCCCTCTGACAGACAACTAGAAAAGTTTGAGTCACACTTTGCAGCTAATTTTGAACACTAAATATGCCAACAGAAGATGATCATCAGCAAGTGCTAATTCTTACACAGTAGGTCTTTGTTCAACACGGCTTCATAGGAAAAGCACACTGGCTTTCAACTTACAGTTCATCTGTTTTCAACAGTAAAATTAATTATGTTTTTTAAATGACAAGTTTCTCTGTTATTAAATACACAGGAAGATTTTAGGCAATTTTACACTCTTAAGGCATTCTGCAAGTAGTAAGAATTTGAACAGAAATTGTATAACACTCCTTTCTACAGCAAGCTGCTTTCACCATCTTAACTTAAGCCACTGAGGATTTTAGTTCTTCATTGCTTGCACTGCAATGCCTATTCCTCTATCAAATGATATTTAGCTAAATTATACAGCAGTGTCCAAAACTCATATGGTGGTAACTACATTTTCACAATATAAATGGATCTTTGTCTTACAAGCTGAAAACCTTCTGCATTCCAGGCCATAGCTCCTTTAAGTAAGCATCCACTTGATCTTTTGAGTGGTATGTAGGATTATACTCTCATGCCCCCACCAGAGCTGGAGGCTTTCATTATTCAAAGAGAAGTCCTTACCTCACCATGGGTGTCCTGAAACTGCACCTCTAAGTATTCTGGTGGCAAGGCAGGAATATTAAGAGCACAGTGAGAGACAGGGGGCACAGAACAAACAAGTGAAGGTTCAGCATCTCTAGTTGAAGCCTCAAGATGGATGTCAACCACTTTCTGAGTCAAAGCATCAGAACTCCTCACTCCATCTTCTAGCTTCAAGTTCTGCACTTCTGAGCTTAAGTTTAGTTCATTTCCAATGTGCAAGGCTGCAGAGGGAGTGCCAGAAACAGCATTGCTGCTCATGTCTTCTTTTTCCTTCTGCAGTATAAATGCTTCCTTGAGGGCAAGCCACAGTCCATCAATCCAAGGATCAACCACTATTTCCAAACTGTAGCGGGAGGGGAAAAAAAAACAACAAACAAATGAGAAAGAATAGTTGACTTATTGTGACTGGACTGTTGATTTACAAATAATGAAAAGTATACAAAAGCTAAAAGCACTATTCATTTTCCATTGTAATATATATCAGCAGCTGCTACCAAGATGACTTTTCTGCTAAAAAGAAAGTATTTTAATTTACTTATTACTACTGTGTAAATTTATGGAGTCTAAAGTATGTAACAGCCTCACTTTTCTTCCAGTTTCTCATTTTTATTTTCTTACACTGAACTTCATGACAGGAAGTTGAACGGATGGTAGCAAAATGTACAACTTTTCACTGTGCAATAGCAACATCAATGGCTTACACTAATGTTCCATTTTTATTATTTTAGAACACAATATATAAGCTTTATGGTTATGGCAATGTTTGTGTTCAATTATCTCATATCATCATGCACAGAACTGATATAATCCTGCAACTCAAAATAAATAAGCCAAGACTGCAGCCTACTGGACAGAACAAGCAACATAACAAGAAGGGAGAAAGATGTTTTAAAGAAGAGAGAAAAAAAATAATCAAAAAACATTGCAGCATTTGCCTAAAGCAGCTATGCTGCAAGATGAAAGCTTGGATAAAAGTCTGATGTGAATATAGAAAAAGATTCCATTACCCAGTACCACAGATATGGGGAACTGGATTTATTTTTATTTGCTTCAGTAAACTGACTACATTTTTAAACTCCTAGACTTATTCTGAATCCCTTAATTTCTAAAATTTCTAAATACTCTCCATTTTTGCAGGCATTACAGATGTTTGCTCACACTTGAAACATGGAGTTTTACTCAACAGCAACTGAGATTGAAAAGGCATTTTCAATCAGACAGGACTCATTACCATGAGGTTGCCATTTAGGTTCAACTGATTTTACAGAGTTCAGAAGGTTTAGAAAAATGCACATGTAATTATTGCATCTTCAAGAAACCAAAAAATAAACTCATACCCTACACAATCATCTGCTAATCCAGTGTCATAGAAGTGCTGGGCACCAAGTTCTTGAAGTAGTCGGTCTACTGTCTTTCCACCATTACAAAAGAACGTGTACTCAGAATCTCCCAGCCCTAACAAATGCAAGGAAAGAGGAATCACATCAGTCAGTCACCCAGGCTACTGAAAGATCTGCAAAGATAACACCAGATTTTCTTTCAGGCAAACAGAATAATCTGATACAGTAACGTGGGCATTACCAAGGCACTTTTATGACCTTCAAAAAGAAGTATTGTATTTGTCCCAAAATAGAAGTGAAAAAGTTCCTCCCTCACAAATTTTAATATACAGAATTTCCCTGAAAATACTCTGGTTTTAATATTTCACATTTCAGAAAAAGTTTGCTTTAGCTTGAGGCTTTTAAAAAACACAAAACCACTCTTACAGGAAAAATGTAAGGAACTGAAAAAATTTTAAAAAGTAATGAAACTTCGTTATTGATGATCTTGATAAGGACATAGAGTGTATTATCAGTAAGTTTGCAGATGACACCAAGCTAGGTGGGAGTGTTGATCTGCACGAGGACAGGGAGGCTCTACAGAGAGACGGATAGATTGGATCGCTGGGCTAATGTTAATGGTCTGGGCTTCAACAAGGCCAAGTGCTGGGTCCTGCACTTGGGCCACAACAACCCCAGGCAATGCTGCAGGCTTGGGGAAGTGGGGCTGAAGAGTGTCTGGCAGAAAAGGACCTGGGGGTTCTAATTGACAAGGGGCTGAATATGAGCCAGCAGCGTGCCCAGGTGGCCAAGAAAGCCAATGGCATCCTAGTTTGTATTAGAAACAGTGTGACCAGCAGAAGTAGAGAGGTGATTGTTCCCCTGTGCTCAGCACTGGTGAGGCCACACCTGGAGTGTTGTGTTCAGTTTTGGGCACCTGAATGCAAGAGAGATATCGAGGTGCTGGAGCGAGTACAGAGGAGGGCAACGAAGCTGGTGAAGGGCCCAGAGAATAAATCTTATGAAGAACTCTTGAAGGAGTTGGGAATGTTTAGTTTGAGGAAGAGGAGGCTGAGGGGAGACCTCATTAGTCTCTACAACTGCCTGAAAGGGCATTGTAGAGAGGTTGGTGCTGGTCTCTTTTCACAGGTAATTAACAGCAGAACAAGAGGGAATGGCTTCAAGTTGCAACAGGGGAGGTTTAAATTGGACACTAGGAAATTTTTTTTCACAGAAGGAGTGATTAAACACTGGAATAGGCTGCCCAGGGAGGTGGTTGAGTCACCATCCCTGGAAGTGTTTAAGGGTTGTTCAGATGTGGTGTTGGTGGATATGGTTTAGGGCAGAATTTTGTAGAGTAGGGATGATGGTTGGATTCAGTGATCCCAAGGGTCTTTTCCAACCTGAATGGTTCTATGATAAACGATGTGAATTACCAAAAGACATTATCTCATCTTCAGTTCAAAATTGTTAATAAAAATAAACAACATAAAGGAGAGAGTATTGAGAGTAATTAAAAAACCACTGGAACCTTGAAAAAAAAATAAATCAAAGAGAGGAGCAATTTTAAACAATACAAAGTAAGGAATGTAGGAAAATGTGCATAAGGGAATCTGGTCCTACACCCTCTTCTCCAAGAAACAGAAATTTCCTTGTAGATCTCATTTTCACTGCACTGGATTTTCTGTCCTTTAACAGTCACAAAGATGGTCAAAAATTTAAAGGAATAGGATGATCTTAAAACCTTATTTTAAGGAATATTTTATACTGCCTTTCCCTTGTATAGAAAAATGCCCAATTACCTGCAAAGTCAAGTAAACTCATCTAGTTCACAGAGACTTGACATTAATAATTACACATAGCTTATATATTTTGTTTATATAAAGAAAAATAAACTGTAAAAACATTCAATTGGTAGCTTATATTCAGATAATTCCGTGAGACTTCTCCTCTATTCCTCATAGATGACATCACAAAAAAGGCTGCTCATGTTATAAAAAACGTTTTATAAGCACTGAAAAAACAACCAACCAACCTATTCACAAGTAAAAAGAAAGAAATAAATAATTTTCTGACAGAAAAGTGCTGCAATGATATATGAAACACTAAATTACCAAGCAATGCATACTGGAGATGTGCAAAATGATCAGGTGGCAAGGCTGTGTCTTGAATTTTCTTTACAAACTTGCGGGCAGTGTCTGGTGGGTCTCCAGTACCAGTAGTTGAAATAACAATAACTACAGGATCCTTTTCTGTTTCCAGGTTATACTATAAGTAATAGAACAAGCAAGTTACAAGGTGTCATTTGATACCTATTTCTAGCCTTAGGTATTATCTTCCACCCTTCCTTTTCCCAAAGGCACACAGAAAAACGTGTAATTTAATCTTACCTGTATTAAACTACAGAAAATTTTCTTCCTATAACCTTAGTGCTACACCTTTGTTCCATTCTTTCTCTTTCCTTCAAAAGAGCTCCTCAGCTGAGGACAGCAATGCCACACAACTGCAGTGGGCAGCCTGCTCAAGCAATGAATGATTGCTGAAGAAAAGGGATGCGATCAGACACCCAGACATGTCTTGCATAACATATACCATAGCAAATGTGCTTATTCAGATAACTCATCCAAGGCTAACTACACGGACTGTGACCAAAGATGATCTCAATTTGACCTGTTTTACCGTTCCTAACTCACTTCCATGTAATTTCATCTTTCGTCAAACATAAAAACTAATCATAGTAACCATCCAAAGATGTATGACCTTTTCTCACCTACAAATGTGTAGGTGAGAGACATGACTTGGAAACAGCCAGTGTTTCCGAGACTTAAGCAGGATCTGACCATTCATTTTTGTATGGTAACAGGATCACATTATGACTATTGACCCTGTAGCTACCTACTCCATCCCTAGATCTTCACAGCAATTCCTTTAAGTGATGACAAGGTCTGAAAAATACCCAACAGCCCCCACATAAAGATGGGCCTGCTAACTGACAAATATGGATAAAAGAGAAACCTCTTACTATCTCACCTAAGGCATGCACAAACACCTCTCTGCACTGTGCGTGTTGTGGAATAAACTCTCAGATCTAACATGCCCAAGGGGCCTTCATAAGAGGTCCCATCAAATTCAAGCAAGTTCTTGCTCCAGTACATTATGTCTTCTCCTCCCCAATTACACTTAAGCTTCTAGAAGTTCTCTTTATTAACAGTAAAGGGTGAGGAAAAACTTAATTCATGAAATCTTCAGAGCTGCAGAAATTACTTTTTCCCTCAATGTTCAATTCTCAGATTTATACATCTTTCTACTTCATCAATAACTCGCAGCTCGGAGCTGTCTTTCCAAATTTGACAAAACAGATTTATTCAAGTGGGAGGTCAATGACAGGGCTAGAAATAATCTGCCTACTGCCTTCCTGAAACTAATCTCCAAACCTGTCAAATGCAGAAGAAATAAAATGGAATAATATAACGAGAATCTTCATGTTCCCTGCTGGCTGCATAAACGTCTCTTCATAAATCTTTGCCACATACTCAGTGAACATTCATCCAAAACATGTCCCAATACCCAAAATGCAGTGTATCCCCAAGAAAGCTAAAAAGGAACCAAATTCTTTCTATAAACTTCTCTTACCTTCAAGTTCCTGAAAAAAACCTTTTAGGTGTTATTTTCTGCTCATGAAATACAAGGCTATCAAATTTTCTTTGTTTGGTCAGGCTTTTTAAAATCTTTTTGAGGACATACAGCTGAAAGTACTTTGTGAAAAAAATCACAGTCCATATTACTTTTTGTTACAGACTGACATTAACAATTTTCAGAACCTTAACTTTGGATAACAGCAAATGATAAAAAGCTACTTCTCTGCTGCAGCCAAGCTTTTTATTTCTTTCTACAATGTATCTTGAGTGTATCCAGTGTGAACTGGAGCAAGTGCATATGATATGCAACTCTAAAGGACCCCACTAAAGCTCAGGGTCACACTGTAGTTCAGTTAATAGAACACAGGACCTCAATGCAACACAAAAGCAACAGAAAAAAAGGGCATAATTTTTAACAACAGGAGAGCCAATTATAAACTACAGAATTCATTCACTACTGCATTCATAAATAATTTTCAAGAAGTCACTGCACTGTTGTTAGAAGAGTGATCAAAGATATATTAATTTTCTGTTTCAATAAGAAAAATGATTAGAAAGATGTACCTTTGGCACAAGGCATTTGTGAGTGTTAGTACAAATTACTGATTCATAAGAAATGAAAATTTAAAACTAGATAGCACATTTTAGATGGGTTCGTGTGTTCAGCCTTCACAATTATGAACAGCCACCACTCAAGCACATGAAGAAAAACGCAGCTATTAAATACTCATTTTTGTAACAGGATGGAGTATCTCACCTTGTCCATTTCACTCATACAGTGCATATCAGCTTCAAGTCCATGGGCACCTGCTTGCTGCCATATCTCCTCAGCTATGGCTTTTGCCTGCCCCTTTTGTGTTGCATAGAGGAGCAAAAACCTCCTTTTTAAATCACAGCACATTTTCCAAAACAGAGTATTTTCTTAAATTATTTTTTTTTGGTAAAGACACTGCAGGGGAAAAAAGGAACAAAAAAGTAAAATTTCCAGCATGCATAACACCAACATTTTACTTGGATTATTAGATTAAAAAGAGATACTTTAAAAGGATAGCAGTACTGCTATTTAACTGAGAAACGAGGCAACTACTCTGAAGAGAGGCCATTACTCACAAGCTCTGTAGGCCAGGTTGCAAAGGACTTATCGGTCGTATATGCTGTACTGCCTTGATGTTGCACTACTACCCCAATATGCCCAGTATCAAGAATCTAGTTTGTCAACAATGCAATAAAGAAATAGTTCCATGAAAATAAATCCTATTTTTATGACGCAAGTTGTATTTTCGACTTTAAGTCAAGGACTCCTTTCATCACTTTTCTGAGATATATTTGAAGGTAAACCAAAACAAAACAAAGACCTAGTGAAGTCAAAGTACAATGCCTGAGAAAAAAAAAAAAGTATTAAAATTCTCAGTTTCTTCTTTTCTGAAATCAGTATTTTTTGCCTGAATGCCTTTAAGCTTTACTGTCCACTATGTCAATATTTTAGAACACAAACATTGTTCTTCTCTTCGTATTTCCAAAAGAAGCTTCTTGCAAATTGCAACTGAACTGACTGTTTGGGTCATTTCTCCTAAAAAGAGGAAAGCATCTTAGAGAAATCTGCTGTAGTGCAAAATGCCACTCCCTCACAAAGTCTTGCAAGCAGCAGGATGAATGAGAGGCATATCCTTATCCATTCATCTGTCCCATGGAAGTTGGAATGTAAGAAGTTTTTTTTCATTATTTTGACACAGACAAAACACAACAGATTTAAGAAAAACTTCCAGAAGCAGTAAGTGAGAGAGATAAACAGAATGTCTCCTGTGTGTATATTACAAATTAACCTTCTGTCAATATTTTGTCACTGCTAGGGAGCTGCAGTAGAACTGAAATACCTATAATTAAAACTCAGTAATTTTCAGTTCCCAACTTGAACTTCTTTTCATGTGCCCAGGCCCAGTTTGCTGTGCTTCACCACTTTCTCCCACACAGATTCAACACTACAAAGCATTCAGTGTACTAGCCACACTGATTTATAGAAACCTGTAGCTAAGTCATTTGAAGCTTATCCTTCTACTGTTTCCCTTCAGGGAAAGCAAGCACAGCTCAACTGCGCTTTAAATGAATTACACTGTATTACCTAAAAATATTCTCAATTGCCTAAACAATCCTTTAAAATAAATGTATTTAAATAACTGGCTTCACGTGCATGTGCACAGATGAAGATGCATACACCAAAACAATCTACAAAATTATTTTCCACCTGCTTTTTCCAAAAGAAATACTGAGAAATTTGATGACACACAAATTATGACGATTAATATGAAATACAGTTGAAAAACTCTCAGGTCCATGTAGTAATACAGATTAACCCCAGTCACATGCCATGTTTTCACTTTAATTATTCTTTTGTCAGCAGGTGATAAGGCCTGACTTTAAATGGAGAAAAACAATAAAGATGTAGCAAAGTTTAATTACTAGTATCTCTCCGATACTTCAGAAAGGGAGAAAGACAGCAACTTTTCACCTGGGACCACACCACACCACAGAAACCTTCTATACACAAGAGTTGAGGGGCAAGTGGACATTATAACCAGGGGATTACCAATAGATTTCAAACAAAAGCTTGAGAAGATATGAGAGAAGCATGAAATTTTTCAATAGTAGAGGGAGAAGAGAGAGCAACAGAAACAACCATAGCCACAATGTGGTTTGACATGGCCAGATGTTGCCCAAATAGCACCACGACCTCTGCCTAGGCCAGCAAGGGCAACTTTCCAGTAAGAAACTGTGAGCTGCTTCCACTCCAGCTAATACAGAAACAATAAAGGTTGCAAAAACTAGCTCCCCACATTTGTGGCATGTATGTGAGCTTGTAGGGAACTTTCTCACTGGTGTGTGGACTAGTAAGATTGCATAGAGACAAAAAAGTTAAGAGTGACCACATGTCCTACACAAGTTGTGTGTAAACAAGGGAACTCACAGGGCCAGAAGAGGGGATTGTGCTTGAGAATACACACGTCCTGAGAAGGGGGACTGTGTGTGTATGTAACAGGCCGAATGTGTCCTCGTGGGAAGAGGGGAGGCCACAATTAGACAATTCCTTGGAATTAGACACAGAAGGCTGTTTAAATATTTGTAGGCATTTAACAATGTTCTTTAAGTGCCTAGCATTTTACCTGTTCCTTTGTTGCTACTCATCTTGAATATATAGTTCAATTAACTTATTAAACAGTAGTTTAACTAACTGACATTTAATTATGCATTAATAGATCAATGAACTCCTTTGATCCTGATTCGATCTAAACTACACAATTGAGGAGTTTCTCCCTGTGAGAGCACCCTCTCCCTGTCATCAACCAGAACAGCTTCATGAACAAACTGATCAAGTAACGCCTGCTAACAAAAGGAAATGCCTACCTGCAGATGAACACAATCAAAAACCAGGAACAGACCTTCACTCAGATGAACATATTGCCTGCCTTGTTCTTGCTTTCTTGCACTATACACTTCTTATGCCACTTCCACTTACGTGATACCAGTTCAACTGAAATAAAGAGGAGGAAAAATGGTAATTCTTGACTATCAAGCTTTCCAGAAAATCCCTCTGACCACACCAGCAGCTTTTAACATGTAGATTGTTGCTAGCTGCACAGCAAAAAACAACACAAAGCTGGAAAAAGATCCCAGGATATCCTCGCTGAAACGAGGGCTTAGCACAGAAATAAGGATGAAAATCCAAATTTTAGCTGATTTGACTGAGTACTCAAAAAAGTCAGAAAACTAACAGTCTGCAAAAGATAAACAAGGAGTCCACTGGCTCTGCACATCAACACACTGTAGGAGCAAACAAGCACCTGTGGATGAAAACCACATGGCTTCACTGAACCAGGCAGGCTGGCCTTAGCAATGATGCAGCTGCACTCCAAGGCCGGATTTCCCAGTTCATGTACCCGGTCTGTCAAAAACGGCAATGGCCGTGGAGAGGATAAAAAGGCAAGAAACCTCCGCAGTAGCTTTACAAGTAGCTTTACTTCTGTGTGGCTTTAGACCACGTTGTGCGATCGTGCCTTCCAAGCCCTGCAGCCATTCCCCCGACATTTTTTCAAGTTACTGGTTTGCTCCGAAATTACTTTACCTTTAGGACCAAGATAAACACAAAAAGAAGCACACAGACTTCAGTGAAAGCAACGGGACGCCCGCATGTGAAACCCTTCGCAGCCGGGGATTGACCTTCCCCCCCAAAAAACGTGGCTGGGCCGAGCGACGGCCCCGCTGGGAAGGCGGAGGGGCTGACACTGAGCAAGGACGATGATTTTAGGGAGCTAAAGCCCGGCTCACACCAGAGGCTTGAATCCCCCCAGAGCCCCGGCGCCGTGGGGCCGGCCCGGGCCGCCCCTCGCCCCCCCGCGGCCC